TATTGTGTTTTTTTTTTGGGTACAATTGTGTTTTTTGTTTTAACCTCAAGAGAATCTGTTTATTTTTCAGGAACATGAATGATGTAAATGTGTTTTTACATCATAATAGAGTATGGACCAACAATGAATACGTGAACTATGATGTCGAAGGTATTTTGATTAGTTCATCATGTAACTACAATCAGCTCCGAGATATTGTTTTTGAAGGAGTGTGATTACACAAAGTTGCCCTTGTGTGTGGTTTTGAAAAAAATTAATAAACGTCACCTCACCTGTTCGAGGCTCAATGTCAATGTCTCCATATTCGTCTGTGTGTGATATAGAAGGGTTAAAATGTCTTGGACTGGCACGAGGGCAAACTGAAAGAGATGAATTTTATTGAGCATTTGCCGAACATGCTGCAGATACAATGCTGGAAACAATTAAGATTACGGAAGATAAACAGGAGATAAATAACTCCAGAACAATTGTACAGGACTATTTTATGGTTGTTAGATTATTCCTTACTTTTGGCACAATTGTACAGAACTATTTTATAAAATAAATGAATGTTGTAATTCAAACCTATATGAGTTCTACATATAAGTGTATGTTTATATACTGTTTATTGAGTTATTGCAGAATAAAAATATGTTTATATACTGTTTATCTTATGTGTGTGTGTGTGTATATATATATATATAGTAAAGGGTATGTGTGCTAATAAAAAAAATGTTTATATATTGTTTGTCTTATATATATATATATGTACAGTAAATTGTATGTGTGCTAATAAAATATAAGTTTATATATTGTTTATCTTATGTATATATCTATGTACAATAAACAATAAACGGTATGTGTGCTAATAAAAAATATGTTTATATAATATTTATCTTATGTATATATATATGTACAATAAACGGTAGGTGTAATATACATTAGTATTTAAGTTCTACATACAAGTATATGTTTATATATTGTTTATCAGGTTATTGTAGATTCCAAAAAATGTTTATGAATTTATCTTATGTATATATTATATACATTATAAACGGAAGTATAAGTGTATTAGTTATCCGAAAAGTGCAAAAAATATCCAAAAGCAACAGCACCAATATTCCTTCACTGAAGTTCACCAATATTCAGGCAAATCAAATATCCAAAAGGAACAACACCAATATTTCTTCACTGAAGTTCACCAGGAAATAAAGAAAACAAAAAAAAAAAA